TTGGGGGAATTATATAGTTATAATATATCTTGGTTTCTATACAGCACTTAACAAAATACAATATGACATTTAGATTGACAAACTAGTTAAGTGTGGGCTGGGTGGCATGATAACTAAACAGATACACAGCTGGAGCCAAAGTCATTCTTTCATCAAGTTCACCAATAATTATCCCTTTTTGCTCAGGATATGCTCATAATATCAAATTGGATGAGATGTAAAATGTCGAGAACTAAGATGATCATGGGACGAGAAACTAAGTCTTGTAAAAAGAGTGTGTAATAATTGGAAATGTTTAGCCTCCGGAAAAGTAGTCTGAGGGAAATGTCATATTTTTCAAATAATAATTTTTTATTATATGATAATTAAAAAATATTATCCAGCAGAAGGTCAAGATTAAGTCTCCATTGTTCCAGACAGCAGGCTCTGATATAATGTGTTTGGATTACAAGAAGTTCTTAATAATTGTTTTGGGAGAAAAGATCTTCCTATCAGTAAGAGTAGTTGGAAAGAAAGACTTGGGAAGTGATGAGTTTCCCTTTTCTGGTTCTTTTCAAGTGCACACAAGTTGGGTGATGAAGGATGATTAATTTTGGATTCCTGCATTAATTCCTGATTAGATCCAATAGCCTGTACAGCTACTGGCTATCTAATTGAATGATGGCTATGTCTTTAAATCCCAATTGGATTTTCTTATACCTAAATTAAGTCTTGTATCAAATCAAGGCATATTTATAAACAATTATTGATCTTTGCTTTCTTCCAGAACATCCTATTCTGCTATATTTTGAATGATGTAAGAGTTTGAGATTGTTGCCAAACATTTATATTCCTTCGGGTCACTGATGAGCAATTTATTATCTAACTTTTATGATGCATCAAGGGCTGTTCTTCATTAATTATTGAGAACGAAAACAATAAGCTTTTATTTACAAATTAAATTCATGGAAACTTTAAAACATGCTTTAAAAGAAAAATACTGGACAAGAATTTTTATTCTTTCTTTTATCCAGTCTATATCTAGACACTATGATTAACTTGAAATTATATATCGGCACATTGTAAACCAGGGAATTATTTGACTCTGAATTCATGGAACTTATTTAGGGAGTGGAACATGGATGGCAGAGAGGGAGGAAAAAACCCAAAGATAATTTTTAACTATTTAGAAGTCTTATAATATAAAGATAGGCAGAGTATACAACTGTTTAGAAGTGTTACCAAATTGCCTAGCAACTGTATTAAGCTAAGGAAGCTTGTTCGGGGGTAACTTCTATGGTTTAAGAAAAAGCCTCACCTGTTCTGTGCTAGGATGTAGAATGCTATGTTAAAGAAGAGTTATTGAGTGGGACAACAATTGGTCCCTTAGCAAGTGAGAGGTTGGGAAAGCTGAACAGCAGGAAACAGGGCTATTGAGAACAACACAGCTTGAAGTTGCTTCCTGCTGTGTGAAGCCACTCTTCTTCCCCTCCATTGTGTGGGCAATGCAGTGGCTAACCTGGGACTTAGACTTGGGGCTTCTGGCTGACATGACAGGTTCCCTCTGTAGGGCTCTAATATTTCTCTTTTCTAACCATATTGCCCACCCCACCCAAAGCTAAACAGATTTCCCATCCTAAACAGAAAAGAGGGGAAAACAAACAATTTAGGCTCTTTCTCAAGTGCTGTTACTGTCTTACTTTCCTTCTGTTTTCTTAGTTTAATATGACCAATATTTTTGCTAGTTTGTTTGCATTTTCAAAATGATCATTAGATTCTTAAAATGTAAAAAACTGCCACATCTGGACATCCCAAAGGTACTTTTTCAAAGAGGCAACTGGACTGTCTGGTTTTTCTTTGAAGACATTTCACTTCTCTTCAGCTTCTTGGATGAGAAGTGAAACGTATTCAAAGAAAAAACAGAAAGTCCAGTTGCCTCTTGAAAAAGCACCTTTGGGACAACCACGATGTGCATGACTGAGGATCTCCATAGACTCTTATCTGGACAGTTATAGTTCCATTATTAATACATCTTCATTTCCATCTAACCTAAACTTTAAAGCTTAAAATCCTGTTTCGAAACCTGCTCTAAATACTCTACCTGAGAGAAAGCCTTCTTAGTATGTTTATCTAGTTGTGGGTCATCCTTCCTCAACATTCTTTACAATCATTTTGGCTGTAGATCTTTAATTCTCTGGAGACTAAAATTAAATTAAAATTAAAATTCAATTTAAACCATCAGGTATAATTCAGGTAGCCATATCATTATTCAGCTCATAATATCTAGCTGTGTTTTGTTGTGGTTTGCTGTTGATTTTAATTTTTGCCCTTGCTTTGTAAACTGCCCACAGAACAACACTATTGAGTAGCTTATGTAAATGCCATCAATATACTGTATTTTCAAATTAACAGTTAGAATTTATTATATAGTTAAGGTTTTTTTGCAAAATGAATACCATATTTATTGAAAAGAAATATGATCCTATAATTAAGATGTCCTTGTCTCTGAGAATAGTAGATTTTCAAAACCAACACAAAATCCAACAAATTGTTGTATTTTAATTTTCAGGGACAATATAGTTAATATATACATAGATTCCTATAATTAAATAATAAACTAGGAAACCTATTAAGAAAAGTCACTTCCGCAGTAGTACTGCAAAACAATAAGCCTGTGACTTAAACTGACCAGACAACTTCATGATTTCTTTTATATTTTTCTTTTCAATATTTCAGAGATAAGTTGTTTTAAAGGTGCAATGTTCCTCTTAAGTGGTTTTTTTTGGGGGGGGGGGTGACTTGGACAGCATTGAAACTTTCCCTTTGTTCACTTTATCCAGTTCTGCTACTAGTTTTCAATTTCTGGATCCACTGGCAGAAATATTTTCCCACTTTTAAAGGTTTAATTTTGTTCTGCTTTTAAACTTTGAAGTTGTCTTTCATTTATTACACCCTTACGATCTTCTCTTGCATTTCCCAGTTTGAAAAAAAAGGGGGTGCTGTTGCCTTCTATCTGCTACTTGCATGTTTATGTAACAGTCATTGCATTATTAGTCTATTACACTTTCGCCCATAAGCTAGTTTGTTTTCTGTGTATGTCATTTTGGATTCTAGAACAGGTGAAAGGCATTATACAGATATATTAAAAAATAGAAAATAAATAATTCTGATCCAAGACTCTGGATTTCCCCTATATGCATGCTATTTTAGCTTATCAAACTATTTTCCCTCACTGACCAAAAGCATAATTATGTTCACTTTTATATGTACTGTTATGTCCTAGAGATTTTACAATGTCTTCTGTAAATACTCCTAGAGAAAGTATATAACCGCTTTAGAAAAAAATATATATAAACTTTTTTCTTTGCTGTTCTCTAAAATCAGCTTCAAAAGATTTGAAATATTATCCCATACAGAACATCCATTTCAGCACATTTATTGTACCAGAAAAGATTACATTGTGTGTATAATAGGATTCCTAAGAGCTTTTATTGCAACAGACAAATATGGTTAACCTTTTTATTTATTTATTACTTCCCACTTTCTTGATTGCTTGGCTGTTGTTTTTCCTTGCAGGATGAAAAGCAGAGAACAAAAATAAAATAAGTTTGTAAACATTAATATAACAGAATAGAATGTAAAAAATATTGGGGGCTGAAACATTGTCAATATTATGTGTGAACAATGATTACAGAAACAGTTTAAAGACAAGCTAACTTTATAGCAGGCCTGGCTGGATGATTTTTGAAGCTTAAGGCCACACATGTTATTAAAGTGTTACAGGGAAGTATGGTTGCATATGCTTCGTGCCTATATACCTGTATGATGAGAGCTGAAGAAAGTGAACATTTTTATTTATTTTATTTTGTCAAGTGATTATTAGATAACAGGTATAAGTATAAACATGGTTATGAATACATGAAATGGATACAAATTTAAAAAAAGAAACAAAAAAAGAATTTGTTAACCATAAGTTAACAAATTCTTAAACAAATTCAAAATATAGCAGAATTAAATCTAAAATGTTACACAGTTCAAAAATCTCACATAATAAATTATACTACGGACCATTGATGTCCAAGAAATAAAACACACCACAATACAATGGTCCTTTGGTACTCAATTGCTTTGAAACTCTGCACATTTGGCATTCAATACATCTTGATGTGAACATTTTCTTCTGGAAGTCATCGCATAAGCTAGAATCTGTTGGCGTTTGCTGCCTTGTGATTCACTACATTATGGGAAAAATTTGTTTGGTACTCATCATTTTTGTTCTTATTGCACCTCCTGGAACCAATTAACAATGAGTAGCAAGGTACCACTGTATGTGGCACTTGGGTCCAATTGGTGCATGAATATGTTTCTGTAGCTTAAATTCTACTTTGTGTTTTATGTATTCCACCTGGACGTATATTTACTTAGCTTCAAGGCAACTTTCTGTCTTCATTTCTAAGTATTAAATGATACAGCTTGTAGTGACATGGCCAAGCTCATAGGATGAAAGGTTATCACTACCCCCAGGGGTTTCCAGGGCACCTTCTCACTAACCCACGTGTGAGAAGGATAGACCTCTCACATACTTTTTCAGACACATTAAAAGGAAATAAATGAAAAATAAATGAAATAAATTCTATAAATTCTCCCGGAGGTTAAGGTAATTATTCAACATGCATAATCCTAATGGCACACTTGAAATATTATCCATTATGCTTATTGTATAAATATGTCTTTCTTTTTAAAAAATCTGCTGACAGGCTAGGTAAGGTTTGTGGAAGATAAGTTATATGAGAGCTGTTTGGGTTTGGTGTGCTTTGGAGGTTGTACATCAGAGGTTGTGATAAAAAAAAATATTCACAACACACAGTGAGCAGCAAAGTGGCCCTTTTAAGACTCGCTCTAGATACTTCTCAGGTTTTATTTAATAATGCCCATTTTCGTTGAAGACAGAGAGAGTAAGAGATGATAGATAGATAGATAGATAGATAGATAGATAGATAGATAGATAGATAGATAGACAGACAGATTGATTTAATCTGAAATTATTACAAAGTTATGCTTCAAACCAAGAAAGGAAACCTAACATTTTTGAGAAAATATTTTATTTACTTAACATTCAGGTATAAAGCAATTTGTAAAAATGTAGTACAAATATGTTCAAAGTACTTTACTCTAATGACATATTTGGTGGGTTGTGAAACAAGCTTCACTTTACTGAGACTCAGCTCGACATTTGTAACTTCTTTCAGACCAACCCTGGGGAAAAATGGTTTTTTACGCTTTTTGAGCACAATCAAAACCTACTTGATTCATAATTGAATTAGAATCAAAATGAAAAAATTAAATATTTTATTTTAAGAGGGAGTAAGAATTTAATAGTATAATACAGAACAAGGCATCATATCTGTGTGTGGTATATATCTAAATCATGTATATGAGAGAAAGAGACAAGAATTAAAGTTGGCAGCATGTTCTCGTTTAAACAGATTTTCTACATCAATGTCAATTCCAATCAGTTTAAAGCAAAATGATTAAAATAATATCCTAATTTTACGTTATATCAGATCTACTGCAATGTAAACTTGCAGTGATCTTGCCAGTAAGTTTTTCTGTAAATGCATTTGGCAACAAACCAATAAGGACAAGAATAGAAGAGGATAACTTTGAAATTAGCTTTAATAAATATCCATCCCTATTTCTAGATATTGTAAGATTATAAAAAAGACATAGTTCTATTATACAGTATTAGAGGTTCCAACTTTAGTAAGGTCACACAAAAACTATATTTATATAGGAAAGTCCACTAGAAATCTCAGCAATATCTCTATGTTCTCTTGACAAATGAGGATGTTTCATGGAATGTAGAAACGGGTTCGTAGTTTAACGCAGGAAATTATAGGTGGAAGGTTTTTTTGTTTGCTATGGTTTGATTTTTTGATGCCTTCAAGGTATCTTTTGATTCTGGCAAATGTCTGGACAAATCCATGCAGGTTTTTTTGGCAAGATTTTTGAAAGTGTTTTGCCATTGCCATCTGTCTAGGACTGAGAGACTTTGTTTAATAAATTTATAAGGCCACCTAACTCACACACAGCCACCCAGGTAGCTTTGGGGAACTGCAGTACAAAATTCTGTTCACTTTTCTGACATTGAACATACTTTAACCTCTCTTTGACGCTATTAGTCCAAATTTAAAACAATGAAAAAAGTACATTTTTGTATGTCATTCTGCACAGGTAGTCCTTGACTTACAACCATTTTTTAGTGACCATCCGAAGTTACAACAATACTGAAAAAAATGACTTATCACCATTTTTCAAACTTATGACCATTGCATTATTCCCATGGTCACATAATCAAAATATGGATGCTTGACAACTGCCAGGTATTTATGTACATACAGAGAAATTACTTGAATTTTGTTCGACAAAGATTTCAAGTGAGTATGTCAAATTAACTGCAATATTGGGCTAAAAGCTTTGTAAAGATACATTCCTGCATTCATGTAATTTGGTCAGATTTATAAATTTTAAATAGGTCTTTTTAGAATACTTAGGTCATACCCCATTCCATGTACATGCTTACACAGTGATGTGTCCACACAGCTGTCACAGTACTCTAATACAATTAATGCCTCTCATTAACATCACTCTTTCAAATTATCTCCTATGGCTCCCCATACATCAAAGACAAATTCATCTGGAAATGCAAAATCTCCCAAAGCTTCATCAAGAGCTACTGCAAATTCATCTGGATTGTTCTTGCCTTTTCCAGCTTCTACCATTGTTGCAGCTAAATCAAGACAGGGAAAGAGGAAAAAAAGAGTTATCTATTACTTTTTTTGGCACATCAACATAAATTATAGTAGTTGTATTTTATATGAACAAACTTGGAATAATTGCATTTTATTTAAAAATGTAAATTAAAATCAAAAGATCTGTAAACTTCTTTACTTAATTATAAAATGAAAGTTTAATAAAAAAAATATGTAGAATTGATTTAAGGCCATTCCAACTAATCCTCTTAAGAGTTTTTATTTTCTTAAGGATTAAAAATTCAACCCTACTTAGGAGAAATATCACCATCAACTTCAGTTGGAGAATAACAAAACCTGACAACACAAGTGCAAATTTGTTTTCTGCAAGAGGTCTATTACCTTCCTTACAGAAGAGACCACCAGAGTAGGGCTAAAATTGTGTGGTTGGCACTTAATAGTGCCTTATGTTATTCAAGAACCCAATTCAGATCCTCTTTCAATCACAGCTTAAATATCATGAACTTAGTGTTATTTAATTTACAGGATTACTCATATAACAAGAGACAAGAGGAACAGCAATATTTAAGCAGTCTTCATTTTTATTGTCCCCACAGTACCCATAAACCTCCTACTGGAGAACTGGGACCTTTCTGGAATGTTTTTGTTTTTTGAATAAGGACTATTTGCCCATTGCATGTTATAATGAGTCAGAGGTGGAAGAGGGAGACAGAAGAAAGATAACTTTGTTTTAATTTAATTTAAACTTCAGAATTGCAGTGGTATATTTTATATTCTAATAATACAAGAGCTTTCTTAAAAGCAAATGTCTTTAACAGCTTGGGCATGTGTGTATGTGTGTGCGTTGGACTAGATGACCTATAAGGTCCTTTCCAACTCTGTTAATCTGTATCAAAAGGTGAATCCCACCGTAAATGTTAGTAGAACTGAAAACCTAAGCACTGTAGTAAGGTTTTCTAATCAAAGTCATTTATCAACAACAAAAATGTATTAATTATCACCATTGTCCTTATTGTAAAAATTGTTTTGTTATCATGCCCTTTCTCATCACATTGTCAAATTCTCTGATTGTATTAACAAAAAATATTATTTTCAGCATTACAGTACACCAATATAGAACAGTCATATACTGGCCTCTAATGGCTGTTAAGAAGAACTACTAGAAAATATTATAAATTCCTATTACATATTCGGCTTTTTAAATTAAATACATATTTCATAATACAGATATCTATAATTACTCCAAATAAAAATATACTCACAATTATGCCTGATTGATTATTTTTACAATTGTGGTAAGGCATCACATAACAACTGATGCTATGTTAAATAACATATTTGAGATAACTATTTGTAATAACTAATAAATAGATAACTATTTGTAATTAGGTGGGTCTAGGAGTTTATAACTATGCTTTACACAGAGAGAGAGGATTTACTTATAATTGTTAGAGATTCTTAATTATAACATTGTGATTTTATTGCTTTGATTTATATACCTAATCTGTGCAGAGATGATTGCACAGATATACAACAAAATACTTTGAGTAATTGGTGTATGATTGCCCTGTGGTAAGAAATTGATCTTCAGAATTTCAATCATATACATACACACAGAGATTAAAAAATAAAAAAAGCAAGAGACAGAATTTTATCTTAATGTTTAATGACAGGCAACATATATGCTTCAAATTGCCAATAGAATTCAGGTTATTGGAAGGAGATGTATGCCTACAGTTCATTTGTTTGAAATGAAGCTCCATTAAACTGAATGAGGCTTATTTCCAAGTAGATATACACACAATTGCCTTAATAGGCGAACACATCGCTAAACAGGAGTTTATGCTTCTAAAGCCAATCATAGCAATCAACCTTTCTAGTCAACCATGCAGTCTGATATATTAAGATCTGTGCTTTACTATGCTAAGTAGTATAATGAGTATCCTAATATATCAGCCTGACATAAATAGATAATGGGTGCAAGTTTCAACACTGTACAACACTATTTTGCACATATAAGGTCAGATACGGCAATCTAAACTCTTCATGAAACAAGTTTTTCATTTCATAATCATTCTTGCTGGCTTGGAAGTCCTTATCTTCAATTGTTTAGAATAGGGTTTCTTTTGTTTTAGAACCAGCACTGTGAGCAAATATTGGAATCCTGTTGTCATATTTTATATGTTTAGGTGGATGTCAAATGGTTTAACACGGTTCCCAAACTATTAAGATGTTGTGGGTATCTATCACATCTTAATAGTTTGGGAACCATGGTACATTAAATCATTTGTCATAATACAAAATGTTTTAAATTCAAGTTAAAGCTACGGATATGTATCATAGTTCCACAGGCCTACCACACTGTTTTGGCTGGCAAAAAAAATAAGAAATAATATATTATATCACATTCAGAATATGTCTATACTGAAGTTCTGGCAGCCCCAGCAGAACTAGAAATGAAGGTTTTTTACCTAAATACTGACCTAGTTCAAGATCTCTTATTCCCATGTACATTTCCAGAAGATCATCCACTTTTTTGGTAGCCTTTTCTTCAACATCTGAAAGCTTTACCAAAAGGAAGGAAGATATATAAACTATAATAGAATATATAAACTATGCAATGAGTAATGCAAAACAGATTAATCATAGTACTTAAAAATCCAAGAAGCTTCTTCAACTCTGAATGGATGGTGGGGAAATGGAAGGGTTTATTTTGTGACAACACAGTCTTTTCAGCAGTTCCAAGAAGGCTCTACACCTATTGGCACTACTCAGGTGATCCTGAGGATACAGATAAACCTCCAAGCAGCCTCAATGATATGCCCAGAGTTGTCCCGTGTGGCCATCCTGGAGACAGCAAGGGACAGGCCCCTACTGCCCCAGCCCCAGTCTACCCTGGCCATGCCCATCCTGGCCATGCCCCAGGCCCCCAAGGTAAACAAAATCCTGATACTGTCTGCAATGGGATCGAGTTTGACAACCCTGCTCTAAAAGAATGCAAATGATTAGCTGTCTGTAAGGAATATAAATCCTTCCATTTGCCACCAAGTCAGAGCTGAAGAAGCTTTTTGGATGATAAGTGAAATGTCTTCAAAGAAAAACAAGAAAGTCTGGTTGCCTCTTGAAAAAGCTCCTTTGGAAGGAACTAGGACATTTTAGCCTTGAGAAAGGAACACTGAGGGAACAGATACCTGAAAGGATCTTACACAATTAACAACGCCAAGGTCTTTCTGTAAATGCATTCCTTCTTTCAGAAGCATGGTATATTACAATGCCAAGGCTAAGGTATTTCTATCAATACGCTTCCAGTTTTCCAGTTTCAAACATGTAATACCATAAAGAAACCAAATTGAGTGCAGGTATCACAGTAAAAAGCATCACAATCTTGTGACAAGAGATTTTTTATCTGCGAATAAATTCCTGTCTCCTTTCCACTTCCTTTTATTTTTTGCTTTAAATTTGCCCTTCTTATGCTATTATTTTTAGTCAAATCTCAACCTGAAATCAATGTTTTAAGGAAAATTGCTGTGCAACTTTCATTGCTGGAAAATGTGCAGATGGCATAGTAGGAGCAGCAACAGCACATGGCAGAATGGGAACAGAAGAAATGAGGCAGATGCTAAATTCACCAGAGTAAAGGGAATATTTGTGGTTATAGCTATAGTTTAAGGGCTTCATCCAAACAGAACAAAAATCTGCCTTCAGGACAAAGATGTATGAATTAAAAACTCACCATTTCTTCTACTGTAGCAGAACCTTTGGCTCTTAGTCGAAGAGTCTCTCTTCCTCGGCAGATTTTTTCCTCTGCAAAATTTCCACTTTTTGACCTTGGTTCAATAATTTCTGGAATAAATATTATGTTTTCCTTTTTTAAATATATATATTTAAATATATATTCACTTGTTTAGAAATATAGATATCAAACACAGCACGACCGTCCTGGCATTCCTCTGCCATACATACTAGAATAGAGCTGAACAACTAACATACATAATATTTATACAATATTGATTTTGTTACAATTCTTTTGACCACCCTATTCTTTTAGATCCTCTATAGTGTCACATTCAATGTATGTTTTCCTAATTCCAATTCAACTCTGAATATAGTTACTCTTCTTTTCAAGATGAACAACATCAAGCCCAAATTTAGGGTTCATAGAATAAAGTTTGGCAATCTATTAATTCAATTCAGAACTGGATTTAATCTGGAGATTACTTTAACAGAGTCATGAGTAGAGTAGAATAGAGTAGAGTCTAGTAGAGCAGAGCAGAGCAGAGCAGAGCAGAGCAGAGAAGAATAGAATAGAATTCTTTATTGTCCAAGTGTGATTGGACACACAAGGAATTTGTCTTCGATGCATAAGGTCTTAGATATTTTTGAAAAATTGAAAAAAGACATTTTTCGTAAGTCCAAGACCCACACATTTTATAAATGGGTAGATTGGGAAGTTTATGTTTCAATCAACAATGACTAATTTACTGAATAAGTAATTTTAAGACAAAAATATTTTGCCAGCCAAGTGTCTATAAAAACCATCATATTAATCAATTTGTCTATCTCACTTTAAAATAATTTGTTTTATTCTGAACTGTCCTATTATCTAACTAAACTGATTCAGTCTCAATACTCTTTTCAAGGACAACAAAAACTCAACAGTCCAATGCGTATGATTTCACACATCTGCTGTTAGCAAATACCAACTTAATTTCAATGTGCTATTTCATCACACTATAGCTTTGGGCTTGAAAATCTACCCCCCAAAATTAGTTGGCAAAGGCAAACTACTGGAGATGCAGCTGCAATTCTCATTGAACCTCTCCTCTTAATTTTGTACTTCCACAAAATGTAAGGTGTGCTTCCAGATGTAAGACTGCCCAATTAACCGCACATCATTATAATTCTCATCCATCAATGCTTAGACAACAAAAGAATTGTCATAGCAAAAAAATACCTGCATCTCCTGAAAAAAAAATGATGCTGAACCATTCAAAGGAATCTAATTTCCCACATTGTCTAAACTCTAAAGTATATTATATATTTATTGAAAATTTGAAATTCCCGTAACTCAGATCCAGTATGACTGTGTAATTGAATATTAACTAAATTACAAGAAATGGTAAAAAGTGAAACTTTCAATTCAATTCTCCTTAAAGGGCAGTAAAGATATACGTAGTGGGGATTGATTGAAGTAGATTTGCAAATCTGAAAAATCATTACCAAGAGGGCCCTAATCAAATCAAACGTTTATTGTCAATGCACAACATGTGTACAATAAAATTGAAATTATGAGGATTTGAAATTGAAAATGAAATTGATACATCTGAAATGAGATAAATTTGAAAGCATATTGCTTCATCATTTTCTTTAATTTGTGTCTTTATTTTAAATCAGGCTGCACAACAAAATTAAATTTAATACATCCCATGAACCATGTTGGGCTTGATAACCCCTTTTTGTATGTGCCTGAAAGAAATAAAGTTTTTGAGCTTCATATGAAGTTGTCTGTGTAATAATTAGTGTAATAGAGTTTACGGTATGGAAAGAAAAGCTTTAAACCTTATGATTAAGTAGCTTAATTATGATGATCATTGAGGATAGTTTTACTTTATTGCAATAAGATTATCAGTATGAGTATAATGTTTTGGTGGATATATTCCACTCACCAAAGGATTTCATAGGTTCTATCAGTTTTAATGTAAATGTCTGACCCTTCTTCAACTCCTTTAAATTCTTAGCAACTTCATAATGACGATAGCCTGCTACATTTTTTCCATTTATAGATTCTATGTGGTCACCAACACATATGACTTTTATTTGGTCAATAAGACTTCCTGCTTTTATTCTCTGCGGACAAAAACAATTTTACATATATCATGATGAATGCAAAAAAAAAAAGGTCTGGTTCAGAAAATTATGAACTACAAATATGAACATGAACAGTCTCACATTTTTTGCCAAGATCCTACCCAAAATCCAATGGGAGATAGGCAAGAGAAGAGATTTTCATTCTCTTTATATCCAGGAAGTTAAAAAGAAGACAGTAGTCTACTGTGTCCATCAACTTTACACTAATCTCCTCTAGTCTGCTCTTACTGTCTCGAAGAAATTTTTAGGAGATTTGGAAGTATCATTAGAAAGAAGGGCAGGAAAAACTCAATGATGAAACATATAGTTATAGTTAACATCTGCAAAACATACAAGGCAGTTCAGAATCCATATTCCATAATTTCAAACAGATGTAATAATAAATGTACAGTACTCATCAAAATCTTATGTGAAGGCTTTGCTTTCATTTGACAAATTTAGAAAAGGAATAATACTGACTTGCCTCCATTTTCAGAATTCTGATTTTTTTTAAAATAGTATCTTTTAAGACAAATGTTAACAATTTTCTTTGACTTTTGTGTAAGTTACTTCTGAGGATCAGAGAATATAATCTAATTTTCATTTCCTCCTCAAAGATAAAAATGGAGGTTGTAATCATCTAAATCTTATCAAAGCCAAAATTCTGGAATAGAGAGTTAATTCACTCTGTTTCGTTTTTCTGACCTACAAATACACATGCCCAATATCTGATCAAATTGTATAATATTTTTTAAAAAATGAGAAATTAAAAAAAAATCAGTATTAATCTATGAAGCTAGCAGACATATGATTGACAGGGAGATTTTTCCACTCTCCAGCCCTTATCAACTTCCCTCTCTTGGCTTCTATCCAAAGGAAGGTGACCAGGATGGGGAAGAAGTTGCTCAGAGGAAAAATTGTTTGACAGCAAAATATAACAGACATGAGAAATGATGGACTTTTCCAGAACAAATAGTAGTGAAAAAATGTATATATCAGTTATTATGCAATAAAGGGGAAAAAGTATGCTATTTCTCCCTCATCTCCCCTCTGAGTAATATATAACATATGTTTTTGCTGAAATTATGGGCTAGACTATGTAGATATGCATAATGTCCACGTGTGTTTGAAGGACAATTAAAAATGATCATGACAGAATAGGGATCAAATGCATACAAAATACAGCATACAGGCATATGGTTTGTCATATGCTGAAGTGCCTTGCTCATAACTTTTTAAAAAGAAATGGTTCTGTCAGATATTCATTCTCCTCTAAGTGTTCACTCAAGAAATAGTATCAGTATTAGGCTTTCAAGCCATTCATTTCAGGAGTTAGTCAACAGTTTCAATGCTATCACCATAAATTAATAAAATAAATTGATATTCTGTTCATGTTTCTCATACAGGTAGTCCTTGACTTACATCAGTTCATTTAGTGACTGTTCAAAGCACTGAAAAAAATAACTTATGAACATTTTTTGTGCTAATGACCACTACAGTATCCCTATGGTCATGTGAATTACATTCAGATGCTTGAAACTGGTTCATATTTATGACGGTTGCAGTGTCAAGGGTCATATGATCCCCTTTTGCAATTTTTTGACAAGCAAAGTCAATGGGAAAGCCAGATTCACTTAACAACACGTTAGTAACTCAATAACTGCAGTGGTTCACTTAACAAATGTGGTAAAAGAAAATGGGGCAAAACTCATTTAACAAATTTCTCACTGAGAAACCTAAATTTTGGGCTCAATTGTGGCCGTAAGTTGAGGACTATCTCTATTCACTTCATCCCCAACCTACTTTTATGAAGGCACATCCATTTCCATTATCAGTAATGGTAAGTCCGAGTGAATCTTCTGATTTGAAAACCTCCACTTCTTTTTTTATTCCTTTGACATGAGCAAATATAAAATCTTCAAGACCAATTTGTACACCCAAAAGCTTGTTCATATCAATTTTGTGTGTATTCAATGTGCAAAACATGATCTAGAAAACCAAGAGGAAAATAGATGCATTTTAATTAATTTAAAACAAATATTCTTTTATGAAATCATAGGAAACCTAAATAATTGTCCAATGGCAACAAGCACAAGTCACAACATTCTATAATAGTTACCATGCTATGTATTACTGTGATTTCTTAACTCAAATGTGTATTAATTGTAAAATCCATTCAAAGCCCAAAGCCAGTAACTTGTTGCCAAGGTTTATTTCAGGAAGCAGAATGATTGCTATTTGATATAAACAGAAATAATTCAATATAATGCTGCTGTAAAAATTTTAAACACTTTGTAACGAGTCCCCAAATTCCTATAAGAAATACATCACAAAGTAAAAAACATGCTATTTGAAATAAGGTCCTTCTAGAGCACCAAAAGCCAACAATTTCTAAAATATGCTGCATGAGAGTTCCTAGTGCCATTGCTGAGTGACATATCCCTTAGCCCACAGGAGCCAATGGTATGATTCCTATGGTATAGTATAGAATATATTGAGATATTTAGACTATATGCCTATTATAATTATTATAATTGTAATAACATACTATTGGGAAGGATTTGATAGGCAAACTAAAATGCCAAATTCATTCTGAACATCTGGCTGACTGGGTTGAACCAAAATAATATAATAATATTGTATAATTATTATACTTAGTATTTAAAGATACAACTTTGGAAAATATAGATGCATTTATAACTGCTATGAAGAAGAATGGAAGACACTTTATATTTTTTTCCTTTTCTCTTTCTATTCTGTCTTTTCTATTTCTTTATTTACATCACCTTTCTTTAACTTGTTCACTTTTCCTTTTTTTAAAAAAATGCATTGTTTTTATTCTGTACAAATTTTTAATTAATTAATAAAAATTAAAACTGTTTTGGATGTCTTTTTTAATAATATTTATTAATGATTACATTCTACAGATAAAATTAATACATATTAAAAAAATAAAAAGTGCAAAGAAAAAGAGAAAGAGAAAAATTTTAAAGGAAAAGTAACTTCCTCCTTTGTCCCAGTAAGTATAAACAATTTTATTTGATTTGATTTATCATCCTCTTCCACCCAAAAGTTTCAAAAGTTTTAGTTGACAACAATTGAAGTTTCCTCTTCTGGCCAATTTTGTTTACCATAGTTATCAAAAAATGTCTGCCAGTTTCTATTTAAAGAAATAGCTTGTTTCTTACTCATTCCAATTTGAACTGGAAAATTTCCAGAATCCTAAGCCTGCTGGAATTTTTCTAAATAAGTTTGTAATAATTCTGACAGAGAACAGTCCAGCTGCTCCCGTGGTGGGTGTCAGATGCTTTAAATTGTGCTAGCTTTTCATGTTGTTTTTGTATTCCAGAGTTTGCAGTCTATTTGTTTTTCTCAAAATAATGTCCATATGCTCCCTCTCAAATATCTGATCTGATAAACATTCTTTCGCTACAATGCGAAGGATCTACAGGGGAAAGTGGCCACATGATCATGGCTCTTCACTTCCACTCTGCTCCTTTTTGCCCATCCTCGGTGGACACGAGACAGGAATCAGGTAATCTTTATCTCTTCAGAAGGACCGGGGTGGCACATCAAGGAGAGGGATGGAGGGCATTGTTTTTTAAAAACTATCATCTGGGTGACATGTCACTCAGCCTACAGCATCCAGAGTCCATCAGACAGGAATGGTTCTGCTCATGTTGCACTTGAGCTGCCCCTAGTAGTTGTTGATTGCTTTCTTCTCATGAAAGAAATGCCTTATCCACTTCCCTGTACATAGTATAACCATTTCTCTACTGGACTGATATGTTTCCCTGCCCCACAACTGGACGATGAACTCCAACAGACTCTCTATGAGTGTGTTCTTCCTCTGTCCCGTTTTGTGTTCTCTCCCAGGGACTATCAGCTAGTGTTTATCTCCTGGCTATTCAGTTGTTCACCTTCTTTGAAGATGTAGGAATGAAGGCACCCTTTGCCAGCTTTCACATGTTCCATGACTGATATGATCCATGAAGGGTGCCATGCTGCAGTCTTTAGATGCACTCAAATAGTTGCCCATCAAACTCAGGTACCCAAGTTGACATGGAATGGGAAACAACTAAGACACTAAATTTAAAAAAATATCCAATACTGCCAAAAAGTGGCTTTTTCACCATACCTCTCAACAATATCAACCACAAGAACTTCAGGTAAAGCAAAAGGCAGTGCCAAGTGTTTATGTAGGGGGCAGAAACAAAACATATGATACATTCTATACATGTGATATATCAGAAAGCAACAAATCAAACAGTGAAAGATATTGATTTGACATCAGAAAAGATAGACATCGTTAAAATATGATGCATCTCCTCCTTTCCCTTACAAACCTGTTGCTTTTGACACCTGCAACAATCAAGGACTTCAGAACACAACTCTAATATGTGATCAGCAGTCCCTGAAAGGGCTAGTTTTTGCACATCAAAGGAAATGGCTTTGGCACAAGGGAAAAATATGGTTTCATAAACTTCAAAAGGAGACATGGACTGCCATGCTAAAATGCCAATATGGCCTTTATTAAAATGCTAATAATAAACCCAAAGTTCTATGTAATTTCCGATCATTAACTCCAACTTTTTATATGCCACATAGTATCAGCACTTAAGACACTTTTTAGTTCACAGCTGTTACAATCTTACATACGATAGGTAATGAAAATCTTTAAGTGGTGGCTTCATAATTGTATTGATTTTTATTATTGAAAAGGAACAATAAAAGTGCATTTAATTTAACTACATCACATTTCACTCCAAAGCTTCAATGTGTTACGTTTAAAAACAAGGTATTCCACCTGAAGTTATCCTTCAACTAGGGCTTTTAATCTGCAATAAACTTTGTACTTCCTGTAGTAAATCATAAAGTGTTGGAGTTGCTTATTTAAAAGGTTCTATCTTTTCAAAATGAATGACATACTGTACATTGATTTCAATATGAATCAAGGTGTGTACATACTTCAAAGGAAAAAAAGCCATCTTCCTGCCAATCCACAGCTCTACTGTATAAACTATAACCTTCATTGTGCATACCCTACATAGCTTGGATTTTGATAGGCTGCATTATTTCTCCCATGCCACAGACAAAAATTGATTCATTCATTGCCATAAACCCCAAATCTTCATTATTTTATCAGTGGCATTATATGTACTAATTGCTTCTCTCCCCTTCATTTTTCTCAGTTTAACACTTACGTGTTTAAATTTACCAAGTTATAAATACACATTAAGGAATATTACTGGATTGGTGATTTCTGAGAAGACAGGAAGCACCTCAAATTTATTTTCAAATTTGCAAAGTATATTGGAAAAAAACCTCTAGAGTTATAGCAAACCCAAGAATCTTATAGTATTTAGTTATGGCATAACATATTGTGAACTATAGTTCATCAGTTGCTTAAAGAGCAGTGTTATATCTATATCCATATCTACACTGCTCAAAAAAATCAAGGGAACACAAAAATAAGACATCCTAGATCTGAATGAGTGAAATATTCTTATTAAATATTTTGTTCATTACATAGTTGAATGTGCTGACAACAAAATCACCCAAAAATTATCAATGGAAATCAAATTTAGCAACCCATGGAGATCTGGATTTGGAGTTACACTCAAAATTAAAGTGGAAAAAAACACTACAGGCTGATCCAACTTTGATGTAATGTCCTTAAAACAAGTCAAAATGAGGCTCAGTAGTGTGTGTGGCCTCCACGTGCCTGTATGACCTCCCTACAATGCCTGGGCATGCTCCTGATGAGGTGGTGGATGATCTCCTGAAGGATCTCCTCCCACACCTGGACTAAAGCATCCCCCAACTCCTGGACAGTCTGTGGTGCAATGTGGCGTTGGTGGAGGAGCGAGACATGATGTCTCAGATGTGCTCAACTGGATTCAGGTCTGGGGAATGGGCGGGCCAGTCCATAGCATCAATGCCTTCATCTTGCAGGAACTGCTGACACACTCCAGCCACATGGGGTCTGAAGATCATCTTGGTACCTAATGGCAGTCAGGCTACCTCTGGCGAGCACATGGAGGGCTGTGAGGCCCTCTAAAGAAATGCCACCCCACACCATTACTGACCGACTGCCAAACCAGTCATTCTGGAGGATGTTGCAGGTAGAACAACATTCTACACAATGTCTCCAGACCCTGTCACATCTGCTCAGTGTGTGAATCTGCTTTCATCTGTGAAGAGCACAGGGCGCCAGTGGCAAATTTGCCAATCTTGATGTTCTCTGGCAAATGCCAAATGTCCTGCATGGTGTTGGGCTTTAAGCACAACCCCCACCTGTGAACGTCGGGCCCTCATACCACCCTCATGGAGTCTGTTTCTGACCGATTGCACATTTGTGGCCCACTGGAGGTCATTTTGCAGGGCTCTGGCAGTGCTCCTCCTGTCCCTCCTTGCACAAAGGCGGAGGTAGCGGTCCTGATGCTGTGTTGTTGCCCTCCTACGGCCTCCTCCACATTTCCTGATGTACTGGCCTGTCTCCTGGTAGTGCTTCCATGCTCTGGATACTATGCTGACAGACACAGCAAACCTTGTTGCCACAGCTCGCATTGATGTGCCATCCTGGATGAGCTGCACTACCTGAGCCACTTGTGTGGGTTGTAGACTCTGTCTCATGCTACCACTAAAGTGAAAGCACCACCAGCATTCAAAAGTGACCAAACCATCAGCCAGAAAGCATAGGAACTGAGAAGTGGCCTGTGGTCACCACCTGCAGAACCACTCCTTTATTGGGGATGTCTTGCTAACTGCCTATGCTTTCCACTTGTTGTCTATTTGCACAACAGCATGTGAAATTGATTGTCAATCAGTGTTGCTACCTACTGGACAGTTTGATTTCACAGAAGTGTGATTGACTTGGACTTACATTGTGTTGTTTAAGTGTTCCCTTTATTTTTTTGAGCAGTGTAATTTAGAAAGTTTAAGTGGTATAATCTTTAAAGTGCTGAACCAGAACCAGGGAAATTTCT